CGGCTTTTAAATAACTGTATAGCATAACTGAATGGCCATATAAAATATGTATTTTCATGCTTTGCTGCACTTCCTGTCTACATGTACCCCAGCCACTCTGGAGGAGCTCAGGTTCAGACCAGGTTCGGTCTGAACTTGAGCTCGTCTCTACTTATAGGTACACCTCAACCAATGACACTGTGCACCTCAGCCACCAGTCAACCAATGACACTGTGCACCTCAACAATCATTCAACCAATGACACTGTGCACCTCAGCCGCCAGTTAACCAATGACACTGTGCACATCAGCCGCCAGTCAACCAAAGATAGTTGACACAGGGCGATTGTCAGTCACAGACCAGCCCCTACTGCAACCTGTTGGTCTGCCAGAAATGCACCCAAGTCCTGCTGTGGGCTGGCAGCGCACAGCATTTTTGTGGAATGGATGGTGTCAGCCCTGCTCGGTTGTCTTTTTTGCTAAACTATTCATAGACTCATCTTTTTGTAGTAGATACAAATTGGGAGGGCTAAGTACCCTCCTCCTGATCACCTGGAGTGTTCGCAGGACAGCTCTGAATTTCTGACATGATCAGCAGGTATATTTTTGCACTGATAGAACAGTTGTGCATGAGATCTATCCCTCTTTCCTGTACTATGGTGAGCCATACAAACAGATATATTTGTATTTCCCACAGGGACCGCAGAATGGCCCCCCAACCCCTCGGCCCCCAGAAGGGCACTCTGGACAAGGCAGATGTTACCAGTGACCAGCTCACAGCGGCCTCCGTTGGAAACGTGGACTGGCTGCGGCTGTGTATGCAAGCAGCGGGCTCGCACATCGAGCAGGATGGGAATGTAAGTGTAAAATTACATAACGCGGCCCCTGTCTCTCAGACAACACGTAAATACTGTGGGATGAGGACGGTAAGACCCAGTTAATCCTCTGAGGTCCGGTAATCTGCAGCCATCTGCTTTTCCCTACATTATATGATGATTTGAAGATAATACGACACGTTAATGGGGCAGAGCCATCGTCTCGCTAGAAACTCTGCCAATCTGATGTATTAGACATAATTTAGTTAATTAATCTAATTTGGGGAGGTCACTGATCAGAACTAGGGATGAGCTTCGCGTTCGAGTCGAACCTATGTTCGACTCGAACATAGCATGTTCGAGCGTTCGCCGAACACCGAACATTATGGGATGTCCGCGGTCTGTTCGACCGCGGCACAACAAGCCAAATGTGTTTCTGTGCAGAACTACAAAGCCCAGCAAGCCATCCCTTGGGCCGTCTCTTTGCACTCTACTGTGTACTGGTCAGGACTAAAAAAAATATAATTTAATAACATTTAAAAAAAAACCTTTTTAAAGCTAAATAGGAAATACTACATATGAATATATTGTGTTTTCACATTCAACCAGCAACCCTTTCACATGATTTCAAGGCCCTCCTTAAAAAAAAAATGCTGTTGTTTACAGAGCTCAATATCTCAACCTGAAATTTACATGAACAAATGAATATGTCAGAGCAATGATGTCCCCTGCCCTCCATAGGGCTGGCTACTCCCCTACCTCTATAAGTTTCAACCAGAGACAGCATGCCAGAAAGCAGGCAAGTTCTGCTGTGGTCACTCCTAACAAAACCCATAGTGCAGGGGTAGGCAAACTCTGGCCCTCCAACTGTGGTGAAAGTAGAAATCCCATCATGCCTCTTGCTCTGGGAGTCATGCCTATGGCTGTCAGGGTCTTGAAATGCCATATGGGATTTATAGCTCCACCACAGCTGGAGGGCTGACGTTCTCCTACCCCTGCCATAGTGCTTTGAAAGCCCTGTGTTAGAACTGTAACCTGTAGTTCACCTCTTCCTGCCAGCTGTACGTATATATGTGGCAGCACAGCGGTGGGCTTTAGGCCTTGTTCACACCAAGCGCGTTCCAGGAGCAGAGCAGTTACAGACCGGATCAAAACTGCGTCCAATGTATTCCAATGGTATTTTGGGCTCTAGTTCAAACCGCAGCGTTCAGTTCCAGAGCATGTTAAAAAAACTGCAGCAAGCCCTATTTTACCTGCTCTGCAACGCATGCAAACACATCAAAAACGCATGCAAACGGACTAAAAGCCCATTCTAAACTAAAAAAAACAACCAAAAACGTCTCCGAACCCATCAAAAACGCGGCAAAAAATGCGGCACAACCCACTGCACTGCGTGTGCAGAAACTCATGCAGATCTGGCCTGCATTTGGCGTGAACAAGCCCTCAATGCTGTGCTGCCACACATATGCTTACAGCTGGTGTCACTGTTCAGTGCTAGAAGTGTATCCATCCCGTGCCCCCAGCTCTGTGACCACTCTTCGGAAACTCTTTACGATTGGGAGCCGGTAGGACAGGCTCTTGACAGCCAATCACAGTGATCATATGCAGGGCTGCCATCAGGGGGGTATGGCAGATTCTCATGTAAGGGGCCCCGACCAGCCTGGGGGGCCCACCCGGGACCCTTACATGAGTATCAGCCGACGGCACTGGCTGAACTACCAGGGTCGCGTGTGCGACTGGGCCCTGGTGTCCCGCCACTAGAGGGGGGCCCAGAAAGGAGGAGAGCCCACCCCGGTACAACAGCAGCAGCAGTCGGTCCTAGTCCAATGAATATTGAGATAGTCCCCTCTCTCCCTGGATCCCCCGCTGAACTGACAACAGAGGGACCGCCTGCAGACCTGGAGAGACCGCCACAGCCCTGGAGAGACTGCCCGCATCTCTGGTGAGACCGCTCGAACCCCCATATTAACCACCATGGGAAAGAACTGCTGAGCGTCTTCCTGCTGAGAGCTGTAGTTCCAGGATGCAATGTCGGCTCCTTGGTGGTTAACGGGCCCCCTCAAGTGGTGGAACGCCAGGGCTCAGTCACAGCTGTGACTCAGATAGTTCCACCACTTGGGAGTGCACAGACAGGAGGAAGAGGGAACCGTTAACCACCTCAGCTCCCAACTCTCTGCAGCTCCTTCCTATGGCGGTGGGGGTTGGAGGGGGCCCTTCATGGTTTCTTGCACTGGGGCCCTGAAGCTTCTAATTACACTTCGGCTCCAGCATTGCCAATCCAGCGGTTTCAGAGCAGGCTGGGGCCCATCAGCGCCGCCACTGCTCTGATCTCGGACCGACCGGAAGTGACATCACGCCACTTCCGGTCAGTCCGGCGGGAGAAAAGGCCAGATGTACAGGTACCAGGAGCAGGTAAGAGGAGCTGGGAGGGAGATGAAGACCCAACCTGCCCACCTGAGACCCCTGCGGAGCCCACCATGGAGAGTCTCAGATGGGCTGTGCAGCATCTATGCTGAGCTCTGCAGGGTCACTCTCAGGTGGGTCCTGTGTCCATCGGGTCACTAAGCCCAGAGTCCATCGGGTCACTAAGCCCAGAGTCCATCGGGTCACTAAGCCCTGAGTGTCATTCTGCATTAGAGTGTAAGCTCCTCTGTACAGAGACTGATGTGACTGGCTCAGTGTTCTCTGTACAGCACTGCGGTATATGTCAGAGCTATATAAATTTATAATAACTAGGGATGCACTAATACCGAGTATTTAGGCGAGTACTCTCCCAAATGCTCTGATGCCTATCCCGGTACTTTAGCTTCAGACATCAGGAAGCCGGGCAGTGAGTCATTACACGGCGCTCGGTTTCCTGATTGGCCAGAAAGCTGGCTCCATGCTTTCTCGTCACCTAGTGACGACAAGCATGGGGACGGCTTCCCTGCTAATCGGGAAGCCAGGTGGTAAGTCATTACATGTCGCCCGGCTTCACTAATGGGACTTCCGGTATCGGTATTTGGTATCGGTGAGTACCGAGAAAAAATATCGGTACTGGATACCGAACAACAGTATCTGTGCATCCCTAATAATAACAGTTTGTGACTCTGGGGGATTACATTAGAGTGTAAGCTCTGTCAGAGACTGATGTGACTGGCTCAGTGTAGGGGGCGGCAGAATGGGCTGTGCAGCATCTATGCTGAGCTCTGCAGGGTCACTCTCAGGTGGGTCCTGTGTCCATCGGGTCACTAAGCCCAGAGTCCATCGGGTCACTAAGCCCTGAGTGTCATTCTGCATTAGAGTGTAAGCTCCTCTGTACAGAGACTGATGTGACTGGCTCAGTGTTCTCTGTACAGCACTGCGGTATATGTCAGAGCTATATAAATTTATAATAACTAGGGATGCACTAATACCGAGTATTTAGGCGAGTACTCTCCCAAATGCTCTGATGCCTATCCCGGTACTTTAGCTTCAGACATCAGGAAGCCGGGCAGTGAGTCATTACACGGCGCTCGGTTTCCTGATTGGCCAGAAAGCTGGCTCCATGCTTTCTCGTCACCTAGTGACGACAAGCATGGGGACGGCTTCCCTGCTAATCGGGAAGCCAGGTGGTAAGTCATTACATGTCGCCCGGCTTCACTAATGGGACTTCCGGTATCGGTATTTGGTATCGGTGAGTACCGAGAAAAAATATCGGTACTGGATACCGAACAACAGTATCTGTGCATCCCTAATAATAACAGTTTGTGACTCTGGGGGATTACATTAGAGTGTAAGCTCTGTCAGAGACTGATGTGACTGGCTCAGTGTAGGGGGCGGCAGTGCGGGGGGGGCCCGGCCTAAAGCCGTGTAAGGGGCCCCAGAATTTCTGATGGCTGCTCCTGATCATATGATGAGATAGTCCAGGCAATGCCTCCGGCATTAGGATGTACTTAAAGGGCCAGAAAGGGGGTAAAGCAAAGCTTGTGTATAGTTACATAGTTAGCCAGGTTGAAAAAAGATACAAGCCCATCGAGTATGTAGAAAAAGAAAAATGTTAGACATCTTAAAAATAAGATTGCTTTAAGGTACTTGACCATAAAGCAATGAGTGGAGAACTATTTTTTTTTTTAAATAGGGATAGCGGTGCTATAAGGATGATGTCATAACACAGTTCATGTCCTCTCTCAGGGATTCACAGCTTTACACATGGCCGCTCTGCACGGTCGGCTCCGGTGTCTGAAGGTTCTGATTGAGGATTACAAGATGGACGTCAACCTACCCAGTCGATGTGGATGGAGAGCTCTGCACCTGGTCTTAAGTCAGAAGAACAGGAAAAAGGCAAAAGAATGTTTACAGTTGTTGTTGAGGTGCGGCGCTGACGTAAACGTGTGAGTAACCTCTGACTGTGTGTACAACCCAGTCCAAAAATGTTTCTCTTCTGGTTTTGGTTTTGTGCTGTACATAGCTTCCTGAAAAACATCACAGCACCCTGCCTTGGTACTCCTCTTAAAGGTCCTCAGCCCTGATACAAGCATTGGGCCGGCTTTTGGAAGGAGTTATGCAAATGCCTTGATGGGTGGGTGTCAGTCTGCTGGAGTGGACGCTCCTAGGAAGATAGCATTTGCATGCAGGCTGCCCTAGGTAACACCTACATGCAGTGGCGTCCCTAGGGGGGTGCGGCCCGCACCAGGATGACACCATTGGAGGGGTGACACCAAAATGACTGACAGTCATTTTGGTGTCACCTCCTCTGAAAAGTCGGGCACTCGGTCTCGGTTGCGTGAGAGAGCAAGTACTGGATGACACCCTGCTGTGATGTCATCACACATGCGCGCGACTTCATCACGCACGTTCGCGAATGATGTCACGCGCATGCGCGGCCATGTTGATGATACCTGCCAGTGGCCATCTTGGTGATGGGCGCTAGCAGAGAGAGGAGGGGACATTCACCCAGCGGGATAAGGTATGCCGCTAGGTCCCCTCCTCTCTCTGCTAGCGCCCATCACCAAGATGGCCACTGGCAGGTATCAAAACATGGCCGCGCATGCGCGTGACATCATTCGCGAACGTGCATGATGACGTCGCGCGCATGCGTGATGACATCACAGCAGGGTGTCATCCAGTACCTGCTCCGGGTGACACCTGGCCTTGGGATGCCCCTGCCCACATGTGATGCTGATCCTCCATGATTGTAAGAAGTGAAATCCAATGAATGAAAGGAGCGGGGCAGGGACAGTTTTGCTGTCCTCCAGCCAGGAAATAAGGGGGATCTATCTGACTTGCTGCAACTTCTAATGCACATTGCAGAGTAAGCAATTTCAGTCCAGGAGAGGAGCCCGTACAACTGTCCAGAGAAGGCTGGAGCTCAGCTTTAAAGTATTTCAAATATCAAGTGATGGATACAAACAAGTTCCCGATATCTTCTAGTCATTAAAAGGTAACCATGCTTATTCTATTCGTTGTCTCTAGAGAGAGCGAGAGCATGGTGACACCATTGCACCAGGCAGCCAGAGAAGGCCTGGAGGACTGTTTGGCCATATTGGTTGAAAATGGAGCAGATGTACATGCGAAAGACCTACAGGGCAACCGTCCCATCGATTTATGTAAGATTTGGTGCCACCGTAATTGTGCCAGGTAGGTCCTGTGAGCTACAACAAATATATATTTGTATATACAGTTGGGCAAAAAAGTATTTAGTCAGCCACCAATTGTGCAAGTTCTCAGACTTAAAAAGATGAGAGAGGCCTGTAATTGGCATCATAGGTAGACCTCAACTATGAGAGACAAAATGAGAAAACAAATCCAGACAAATCACATCGGCTGATTTGGAACAAATTTATTTGCAAATTATGGTGGAAAATAAGTATTTGGTCAATATCAAAAGGTCATCTCAATACTTTGTTATATATCCTTTGTTGGCAATGACAGAGGTCAAACGTGTCCTGTACGTCTTCACAAGGTTGGCACACACCCTAACTTGTCAGTCTATCTCCCACCTTGACTGCCTTTAGGCGTTCCCTAAAGACTCATCTCTTCAGGGAAGCCTATCCCACCTCAACCTAACCACTGAACCATCACATTCTCAAACAATTCATCCCCACACAATTACCTCCTCATGTATCACTGGCCCCTCCCTTTTAGATTGTAAGCCCTCAAGGGCAGGGCCCTCCTTACCATCTTGTCTTGAATTGTATTGTAATTGTAATGCCTTCCTTATATTGTAAAGCGCTGAGGAAACTGTTGGTGCTATAGAAATCCTGTATAATATTAATATATATAAAGTATGACTAAGACAACAGAGTTCATTCCTCCCTGTTCTATAAGACTCAACGACAATGTTAATATTTCGGATGGGGAATGTTGGTTTTTAGAGGTCTATGTTGTAGCTTGAAGCTCCTTCTGTATCTCCGGGTGGGACCAGCTATGGAGTAATAGAGAATCCAGACAAGGACCAATGTTATCAGATGCCAGTTAGCCTAAGAGCACATTTTAGGATAGAAACCAAACCTGAACACCCAGGACACACACACAGGTAGAACAAAAAAACTCCTTGCAATTCATGTTCCCAGGAAGGAAATAGGCCCAAAACCCCAGTGTGAAAAGCCAACCACTGCCAGTGCCTGCCAATGTGCTGTCCCCAGGGGCAAGAATACCTATATGCACCATTTCCTTACAACAGCATACCTTCCAGAATTCTAAATGATAAACCATGCTTTGCTGTTGTCATCTTCATCACGTTTCTATTTAGTGAGTCTTTGTTCCTGAACAAGTATTTAAGTCAGTTGTTCCAACTCTACTAGCTGCTGACTTGTTCCAGGCCAATGATTTGCTGACTGGTTTGTGAGCAAGGATAAGGTTGATAGACCTTTTAAACAGAGTTTCTCCCCCATGTATATCCTTTAAAGTAAAGTTTCCCTTGTACCTTCAGCTATTTATTAACTCGGGTCATCTGCTGGCCATGCAGTGCTTAAAATATATTTTGTTTTACTGCTTATTATTGGTTCCACACACATTGTGTGCAGGCAAGGAAGTCATATTACTAAACATATACCACTGATTCTCTATTCTTAATGTCCTCTGTATTTTAGGTACCTCCACAATGCCACGTGGAAAAAAGACAAGGAGGAATTTGCACGTGAGCTGAAAAAGATGGAAACATTGAAAAGAAACATCCTGGAAATGGACCGAGAGGCTCTGCTAAAGATGATGGTGAGATCCTGAGATGTGCCCTTATGTTATGTTACTGGAATTCTGAACATACTGTACATGTACCGTAATCATTAAACCTGTGAAGGATGAGGGAAGGGAAGTTGGTGCTTAACTGGTGTGTTCTTTTAGGGATTAAGGTTTTAGTATGTTTGGATGCATTATCTCAAACCCTACTCCGGACATCTCAACCCCTACTCCAGACATCTCAACCCCTACTCCAGACATGTCAACCCCTTCTCCAGACATGTCAACCCCTACTCCAGACATGTCAACCCCTACTCCAGACATGTCAACCCCTACTCCAGACATCTCAACCCCTACTCCAGACATATCAACCCCTACTCCAGACATCTCAAACCTTACTCCAGACATCTCAAACCTTACTCCAGACATCTCAAACCCTACTCTGGACATCTCAAACCCTACTCTGGACATCTCAAACCCTACTCTGGACATCTCAAACCCCACTCTGGACATCTCAAACCTTACTCTAGACATCTCAAACCTTACTCCAGACTTCAACTCTACTACAAACATCTCAAACCCTACTCCAGACATAAATTCTACTACAAACATCTCAAACCCTACTCCATACATCTCAAACCTTACTCCAGACATCTCAAAGCCTAATCCAGACATCTCAAACTCTACTCTAGACATCTCAAACTCTACTCTAGACATTTCAAACCCTACTCCAGACATTTCATACTCTACTCTAGACATCTCAAACCCTACTCCAGACACCCTTAACCCTACTTCAGACATCTCATACCCCACTCCAAACATCTCAAATCCTACTCCAGACATCTTTACCCTACTCCAGACATTTCATACCCTACTCCAATTACTCCAGACATCTCAAACCCTACTCTGGACATCTCAAACCCTACTCTGGACATCTCAAACCCTACTCTGGACATCTCAAACCCCACTCTGGACATCTCAAACCTTACTCTAGACATCTCAAACCTTACTCCAGACTTCAACTCTACTACAAACATCTCAAACCCTACTCCAGACATAAATTCTACTACAAACATCTCAAACCCTACTCCATACATCTCAAACCTTACTCCAGACATCTCAAAGCCTAATCCAGACATCTCAAACTCTACTCTAGACATCTCAAACTCTACTCTAGACATTTCAAACCCTACTCCAGACATTTCATACTCTACTCTAGACATCTCAAACCCTACTCCAGACACCCTTAACCCTACTTCAGACATCTCATACCCCACTCCAAACATCTCAAATCCTACTCCAGACATCTTTACCCTACTCCAGACATTTCATACCCTACTCCAAACATTTTAAACTCTACTCCAGACATCTCATACCCTACTCCAGACGTTTCCTACCCTACTCCAGACGTTTCATACCCTACTCCAGACATTTCATACTCTACTACAGACATTTTAAACTCTACTACAGACTTTTCATATCCTACTCCAAACATCTCGAACCCTACTTCCGATGTCTCACACCCCAATCCAAACATCTCAAAACCTACTCCAGCCTTATGTACCGCTCTGTGTCTTTTCTGTTACTTTAGCAATGTTGGCAGATTAGGTTGTGTGGTATGTGACGTGTTCAGCTGTCATTCTGCAACGCAGAACATTATTGTATGTGACATGTGCTGTTTTACAGCATAACTCTCCTTTCCATAAATTACTTTTTACTCATGTGCAATGCGCCTTTGAACTTGCTTGAAAATTAGATGACTCCAGGAGAGTGAATTTCATGGCACAGCCCCCTCTCTCCTTACACATTATGGCCCTTGCTCCTTCTGGGAGTGTCTAATTACTCTCTGTGATGCTGTAGCTCCTCCTCCTCTCTCTATATAACCTTTTATGTAGCTGTCAGCTGTAGGGATATATAGATATATAGATGCTATAGAGTGTCACTTAAATGACAGCTCTAAGTCTGCCGGGGCTGCTGACCTTACATCCAAAATGGTGGCGTCCAGCAGCAGTCTCAGGGTTTTTGGATGTCTACAGAAACAACATGTCCGGTACTATGTAACAATGTTAAATGCACATATGATCTTATGGTAGGATTGTTGCTGAACTGAACGGTCTGGCGACAGCGTCTCTTTGACATGTTAATATAATTTTAAAAGTCTTACATTTCTAACATCTAATGCTTACAATGAAAGAATCCCTGGTAATCCTGCCATGAAGGTCCTTGTTCAGTAGGGTGGCAACTGTCTTCCAGTCCGGTTGTGTTGTCATCCTGTCATATGTTCCCCTGGTGAAAGCTACAAGCACACCTTGGACAGCCATAGTTATCCATCATCACTATTAGAAAGCTGGTTCAGAACAATGATGTGCAGCCAGGGCTGTAGTGAGTGGAATTGGTTTAAATTAGGGATGCACCGACACCAATACTAGTATACTTGCTCAAATACTCCGATACCGGAACTTCCGCTATAAGGAAGCCGGCTCCATGCTCCCTCGTCACTTGGTGACGAGGGAGCTTGGAGCTAGCTTCTCAGCCAATCGGGAAGCAGGGGGGGCGGGTAATCAGTCACCGCCCGGCTTCCTGATAGGTCGGGAAGCTGACCAATCAGGAAACCGGGCGTCAAGTCATTATCCACCGCCCCGGCTTCCTGATTGCTACACAGGTTGCTGTTTCTGGATAGTATTTTTGAAGGTTACACCATACTCTAACCAGCTGACAAATAGTGACATGTGCAATTATTAAACAATTGTTCTTTCCTATTTTTTTTTAGAAAACCCACGAGACCTGTTTTTGTGTCGGCACAGAGACCAAGAAACCACCAGAAAAAGCAAGGGGTACCTCCATAAAAACTAAAGTCTCATCAGATTCTAAAGTAAGCCAGATGTCCAGTAAATTGTTACCTGGTAAGGAGCAGCATAAGAAAAAGCTTTCAGCCTCTGAGGGTTTAGACAAGGACACATATAAGAAAAGGACAAATACCATGTCTAGCTATAGGGAAGAAGGAGGAACCAAGAGACTTGAAGATGATGGAGAGCATTCTAGGGTACAGTCAATGTGCCAATGTTGTGAATGGAATCCAAGTTCTAATCCGACAATGCCTCCAGTCACAGATATTTACAGACCTCCCACATTGCGTCTGGGCATTGACCCAGAAGATGTCACCAAACCAGACTTCAGTGACATAGTCACACTTGACAAAGATGAGCATGGTCAGCCACAAATCAAGACCATTCAAGGACAAATCTTCCCCTCCCAGCCTAATTTGCCATACGAGACCATTCAAAGGTGCTTGTTTCCCAAGACCGGTCCTAAGGAAAGGATCTGCATGCCATATGAGTTTAAGACCATCCATGTTTTTGATGTGCCCAAAAAGCAACAGCCTTTGGAGGGGAGAAAACCAGTTTCAGAAATCTCATTCCACTTGAGGCAAAACCTTGATTCTAGGCTCAGGACAGCCAACAAGTCTACTAAACGCCGACCATGAAAGAAAGAGACACAAAGTTTCCTACGTTCCCTCTTCCTGTATTATAAGAAAGGCAGTCTGCCTACACGTAACCCTACAAATTAATAAAGTGCCATCACATATATGGTTATGCTTCTTTCTCATGATCCATGTTACACTATATGGCCAAATGTTTCTGGATACCTGACCATAACACCAACCTATATGGCCAAAAGAGTGTGGACATCCCTCTATATTATTGAGTTCAGGTGTTTGCATTGAAGAGTACTGTGTGTTGCTGCGTGTCTTCTACTTTTCTAGGTGAGAGGCTCCTTAGGCCCTACCTAGCACAACACAGTCAGTTCTTGCGCCAGGCAGCATTCAAAATATCAGCTTGGGATGTTTTGGGCTGGTGGTATGTCTGTGAGGGAACTCCATCCATATATGTATTGCTTACAGCTCTCTCACATGTCCTGTAGAGGAGCCTGGACCGGAGTGACATCACATTCTGGCTCCCGACACCTCTACAGGACGTACAAGGGAGCTGTACAAACAATGCATCTATGGATAGAGCTCTGCCACAGCACAGCAGCCCACACTGGACCCCAGCCTGAGGATCCATTCCAGTTGTCGTCAATTAGGGAATTGGGTAGATTTAAAAAAGAAAAAATATACATATTTTTAGGAGTGTGTATGTGTGTTGGATTGTGTGTGTCTGTCAGTGTTTTTGAGAGCCCGTTCCCACTAGTACAGTGCGTTAATCAATCTCATGTGATGAATGCACTGCAGCACGCATTTGCACCTACTGTGCGTTCTGGTGCGGAAGCCCACACCCGAACGCGTGGTACCGCAATGCCATGCATTCCATTGCAGCGTGACTTGGGTCGTGACTTAATAACCAAGGACAAATGTGGATCCTGAGGTTACACAGGTTGAGAACCACTGCTTTAAACCCTATCATGTTTTTGTTTTTTTACCATGTCTTAAAGGAGAACTATGAGGCGAGTGCTTTTCACTCACCTCATAGTGCTAGCCGACCTGTGACAATGAGACTGTCACAGGTCGGCTCAGTAGATCGGGAGTGAAGCAAACACATAATGGCGATCGCTCACCTCTCGATCCTGTCACGGCTCTCTGCCGTGGCAGGGAAGGGGCTGGATTCCCCTCTCCCCGCTCCGGCGGGGACAGCTGGCTCTGCCTCTAGATAGGCAGAGCCAGCTGTCACTCAGGCAGCTGGGCGGATCTCGACATCGATGTCGGGATCAGCTCCCGCTGCTGTAGCTTGCGGTATACTGAGCCTAGGGTGACGGGAGGATGCTAGTTTGTGTCCTCCCGCTACCCTAAGGAGAACTATGGGGAAAAGCCCTGACAACATAGTTCTCCTTTAAGATATTTTATCATTTCCAGTCACAATAGGGAGAGAGAGAGGGAAGGGTAATAGGTGTCACGCTTTGGGAGATTTCCTGCTTTGGTGACCAGTTTTTGGATTTCCAATCACTTTTTGTCACGTGACTCCAGGTAATCAGGGCTAAGAGACAGGCCGAATTGACCGACCAAGTGGACAGATAGCAATTTCGACTTTGCCTCCCATGAGGCATATTATCGGAGCACAAAAGAGTGGCGAATTGTGTGCGATTTTCTGCAACATTTATGGAGCGCTTGTCAACCCAACAGTTGGATTTCTAATTCTTAAAAGGAAAAGACATCGTTATATCTCGCTTGTAAATGTACCATTTACATAGATCTAAACCCAAATTTCAGATCAGTTGTAATACCGTTTACAAATGACATTTCAAAAGTTGTTTTCAATCTTTCTACATCTGCAGCTTTCATTAAAATAATACCTGCCTTAGAAGTCCAGTAGGACTAGCAGATGAAGCGCCACACAATGCATGCGTTGTATTTTGAATAGGTGCAGAAGCCCATGTATCGGACTAGAGCTGCGTTAAAATGCAGAACCATAGCCCGCCTACCGAAGCCTGATAGTATAGATAGGGATGCACCGGGATTTTGGCCGAAAATGGTACTATGGGCAAAATGTCCGAAAATTCGGTGCATCCCCAGCTTCTCTCCTACCCACTGGGTGCTGACAGCTGGATTGGCTGTGTCCCCTCCAATCCCTGCTGCTCTTCCGCGCCTGTGTCGGCAGAGGGGACACAGAGCAAATCTAGCTGCTGGCTCCCAGTGGGGAGGAGAGAAGCTGTCAGGATGCCGAGCATGGCAGAAAGCTTGTGCTGGGGAGGTGGAGCTTCGGGATTAGTAAATATGTTAAATATTTACCGATCGTTCACTGTACTGAGCAAACACCAAGTGATTAGTACTGATCACTGTGTTTGTAAATAAGTGAGGACATAGTGATTCGTTTGTCCCCAGTTAAGAATGAACAGGAAGTGCTATACACCACTTCCTGTTCATTTATACATAGTAAATGTTTACTATTTGTTCACTTCAATGAATGAACAGGAAACGGCTCCGTACAGAGGCTTCCTGTCCATTCATGACTGGGTTGATAGTAAATATTTAATATCTCCAGATTGAGAATGAACAGGAAGCCTCTGTACTGAGAGCTTCCTGTTCATTGAGTGCTGGGGCTGCAGAAAAAGATTGAGGACACCCTGCATAAGAAGAGAGCAGCAGTGAGCGGTCTTTATTACAGGAGGGGCGGAGACAAGACCAGTCACCCTGCACAAGGAGAGAGAGCAGCAGTGAGCGGTCTTTATTACAGGAGGGGGCGGAGACAAGACCAGTCACCCTGCACAAGGAGAGAGAGCAGCAGTGACGTCTTTATTATAGGAGGGGCGGGGACAAGACCAGTCACCCTGCACAAGGAGAGAGAGCAGCAGTGACGTCTTTATTACAGGAGGGGCGGGGACAAGACCAGTTACCCTGCACAAGGAGAGAGAGCAGCAGTGACTGGTCTTTATTACAGGAGGGGCGGAGACAAGACCAGTCACCCTGCACAAGGAGAGAG